CTCCCTGCCGGAAGTGCCCTGTTTCTTAGTTTCCGGTTGGACCCCTTACTCGGATTCCCCCACTTCCGGTCGGACCCCTTCATCCTCTATTCCCACTTCCGGTCGAACCTTTTGACCCCTTTCCCCGCTTCCGGTCCGTCGCTTTTTCCCACCCCCCCGCTACTTCCGGCCGGTCCTTCCCGGTGCCCACCCGCGTAACGCAGCGTCAAGCCGAGCTCCTTCAGCAACCGCCGATCGCGGGGCACCGTTTCCAGCACCGGATCGATGATGACAGCGTCCCGCGTCGCTTCGTCCGCCAGGATGTAGGTATAAGTACACGAACGCGGCTCGAAGAGCTGCGGCGGCGGAAGGGACGGGGATCGGCGGGGGCTCGGCCCGGCGAGGGGCGGAGCTCCGAGGGCCGCACCTGGCGCAGGAGGAGCCGCCGCGATCCGGGCCCGGTGCTCAGAGCGGCGCGGAGCAGAGCGGAGCTGCGGCGGCGCCACATCGCGGCGGTCTGAGCGGACCGGAAGTACCCGCGCGTGTTTTCTACGGGTTTAAAAGGGCGGAGGCGGCGCTTAAAGCGGCACTGCGCTGCCTGGGGGCCCACCTGTTTTCCTACGGAGCGAGAAACTGCGTCGACGTTTGAAGGAAGTGAATGTTGATTGGATGAGTGGCTAGGGGGCGGGGCTAGAGCGCTGATTGGATGGGGGAACGGAGTGCTTTGCGCTGATTGGCTGTCGGTTCAAAGGGTGGGGAAAGGGGGCGTGGCTTCCTCTTAACGCGGCGATGACGGCGCGGTGGGGACCGCCGCAACGGCACGGCCGATAGAGCAAAGGGCGCGGCTTGAAGAAAGCGCTCCGATTGGCTGCGGGGACGGAGGTAGGCGGGGCGCAGAGCGCTGATTGGTTGAAAGCAGCGCGGGCGGGGCGGAGGGGCGTCATTAACCCTTCCCTCGCCGCGCCCGACGCGGGACAAAGTTCAAAACGGCTTTTTTTTAAATTATTTTCTACCAAAACTGCTTTAATTCGAAGGAAAACGCCCCAAAACGAGGAGAGGGCAGAGAAAGGAGAAGGGGGGGGCCCAACACCGGGGTGGTGACGGCGTGGTGACGTCACGTCGCGACGCTGTGACGTCACGCTCAGGCGAGCGCGTCGGCGTGGCGCCACGTGATGACGTCACGGTGATGACGTCACGGTGACGTCACGGGGCACGACGGCGTAGGGCTGCGGCGGCAGCGGGCGGAGGCGCTCGGCACAAAGCAGAACCCAGCGAGGGCGAACGAACTGCAGGGCTGGGTTCAGATCCAGAGCCTGCAAATTGGGGGGGGGGGG